CCATTCGTTGCCTTTTGGAAACGATCAGGGAGGAAGCAAGTGATTTCACAAGCCGAGATCTTTCCGGTGCTTGTTGCAAAAGAGACTTGGAAACAAGTGATTGAGAACAGAAGCATACTCTATTTCTTTGATAACGATTCTGCAAGAATGGCTTTGGTCAGGAATTATTCCCCTGTCTTGGACAACTTTTGCTTGCTGCAGTTAAATGCTGAGTTGGATGTGAAGATACCAACAAGAAATTGGTACTCAAGAGTTCCATCAAAGAGCAATCCTTCAGATGATGCCTCGAGGCTCGAATTCGAAGCCTACTCTTATGCCATTCAGTCGCAACCGTGCTACGCGATGGCCCTTGAAGCACTTGAAAGCTTTCAGAAGCTTACTGTCAGTGTTGAAATGGGGTGATTGGGTAAGCACTGAAAGCACAGTGCACAGTTGCCTGAAAAGTCCGGCAAAATAAAACCCGTTGGTCGAAGGACCAGAAGCCGAATGGATACAACAGACGTTTTCGTTCAAAGAAACCGGAAGTGCGAATGCACGCTTGGATCTGCCCCTTTTTCAACAGCAAATGGAGAAGAAAAAAAATTGCGGTGAGTGGCTTTCAAGATGTCAGTTGTCGTGTTTTGCACTTTCAGCCGTGAGTCATTTTAAGTTTTGGTTTTGTTTGATATATATGTATATCGTTTATGTTTGTTAAGCGCACGCGAACCCGTAATGCGATAAGTGCCATTTCACCGAAGGTGATGATACTTTATCGTTAAAGAAGGGTTCGAAGAAAACAAAACAATTTTGGAGGGGTCCAAAATTTTATTTGGCGCTTAACAAGTTTTAAACAGAAGAAAACAGTTGTTGCTGTCGTTGTTTGAGTTTGGCCTCAACAACCCTCTTGCGTTGTGTCGCTTCTTTCTCTTTTCACAAAGGTGATTTTAACAACTGTTTTTTCTGTGTGCACTGAAATTTTACTTCCGGATATTCATTCAGTTTATGTCCACCTCGCACGCCTCAAACCAGGGTTGGGTGGGAGGGTGCAGTCTTAATCTTTGGACTCGCGACCCGCCCTATTTGCACTACGTTATATTTCCCACCCAGCGAGTCCGGGGTGATTGGGTAAGCACTGAAAGCACAGTGCACAGTTGCCTGAAAAGTCAGGCAAAATAAAACCCGTTGGTCGAAGGACCAGAAGCCGAATGGATACAACAGACGTTTTCGTTCAAAGAAACCGGAAGTGCGAATGCACGCTTGGATCTGCCCCTTTTTCAACAGCAAATGGAGAAGAAAAAAATTTGCGGTGAGTGGCTTTCAAGATGTCAGTTGTCGTGTTTTGCACTTTCAGCCGTGAGTCATTTTAAGTTTTGGTTTTGTTTGATATATATGTATATCGTTTATGTTTGTTAAGCGCACGCGAACCCGTAATGCGATAAATCTCTGCCATGCGCAGCCCTTTCACGAACACTTCTTGACATATATCTCTCTTTCACAAACATGTCACAATCACATCTCTTCCTCATGACACATCTTTCACGCACGACTCTTCCACCGATTGCCCTTGAACGCGAAATTCTTTCCTCCACACACATCCCTCCCACATGCAACGCTTTCGCAGACAACTCCTTTACACGCACCTTCGTCAGCTCTTGCGCACAACTCTTTCGCACATAACACTTTCACGTTGAACTCTTTGCAACAGTCGGTCCTCCACCATCTCCTTGATCTTTGCCCCCTTCCCAGTACAACTTCAAGCACTGTTTGAAATTTTTGGAAGAAATTGACTTGTGGGGTTATCCGGTCCTTTAATCACGAAAGCTAGCTTGGCAGCGGGAGTTGGATTTGCTTTAGCAATGAATTGGGTACAGATTGGACGCAGCTGCCATGATTTTTCATGTCCAACTTGTTTTGGGTTCCCTTCTGCTCGGCGTGGCTAATCATGTCGAACCGTTGACCCCCCCTCCTCCCCCTCGGGCTCAAACCCCTCTGCATCCATCCCGCTGGGTTTCATTGATGACCACGCGCTCGCATGCCCACGCGCTCGCATGCCCACGCGCACGCATGCCCACGCCCACACATATACAAGATGATATTCACCGTGAGTGTTGTGAATGTAATGCAGTGTAATGCAATACAATGTCATGTAATGCAACCTATTCTACTCTAATGTACTCTAACGTAACTGTTTCTAATCAATACCATGTAGCGCAATCAAGCTTAATGTAACCTAGCCTACTGTAATGTAATCTACTCTGATGTAATGTGGTGTCATGTTGTGTCACGTAATGTAATGGAATGGAATGTAATGTAAGTTTGTAATGTAATGTAAAGTAAACATGCAATATACTGTATGCAATGTAATGTATGTATGTAATGTATTGTAATGTAATGTCATGCAATGTAATGTAATGTCATGCAATGCAATGTAACGTAATGCAATGCAATTTAATGTAATGTACTGAGATGTAATCAGAGAACAATCACTTGCAGTCTTGTATTCCATTTCCTCAAAATGCTTGGGTGAAAACATGACCTTGTCTTGGCGAGAAATGGAGGACGCGTATCTTAAGATTCCGAAACATTTCTTATTCGATAAATGTACGCACCTAAGGTACCAGTCTTTTTTGTACAATGGATATATATATATATTATTTTTTTTTCCTATAAAAGAGATGCTTGGATATATTCATCATAGACTGTGTATTAAAAAGGCACGGACAAGAGCACGGAAGGAAAGGCCGGGGGACAATCAGATGATTGCAAAATGGCTCAACCGAAACGCGTTCGGTTGGGTCACTTTGTATTTCGCAAGAAAAGTACTGGGAGCATAATGTTGACACTGCTGTTTCATGAAAGGCTGCTGTTAGCCTGTCAGCAACATCGAACTGTAGCTTGTTTCAATTAAAAAAATGACATTCAAAAAGTCGTGCCATATATTTTTCTCAATACACATCACTCTTTGCCCAACTAGCCTTCGTCCCCTTCCTTTGGCCTCAAGTTGCAATGTGCACAACAGCATGCCTGAAATCTTCATGTGTGACATGTGTGAGACATGACAGCACAAGGGGAATGTATTTGCAACATGAAACGAAAGTATGATGCAACATGTCACCCGTTTTTCTTAAAATACGAAACCGTGCGGGACCATTACGGAAGGCGTGAGGAAAAACAGAGTGGAACAAAAGAACCACATGTCGATAAAAACACATTAAGAGAAAAGGATGCAAAACAAAAAAATCCAGGGCCAAAAATATCAAAATTAAACCGTGTCCAAAAAAAAAACATGCCAAAAAAAACAACGTTTGAAAAGAGGAAATCTCAAAAAAAGGATGACACCGCGTTGGTCACCGCAAGAGGTCCACACTTCTGACTCAACACGTTCCTGAACAGCTGTGTGTCCGGGCAAATACCACCCCAATTCCTGGAGGTCAATTCCTTCCAGCGTTCCAAAGGAAATATCGGGAACTTACGTTGCCGCGTTTTTGTGATTTATGATGCCTCTAGACCACGTTTTGTATTTTGAAACATGAACATGTATCACAAGGTCTGCCCCCTCACCTTTGAAGTTTCAGTGCGGGTTCATGCCCCACATTTCATTTTTAGATCTTGAAAAATCAAAGCGGGTCCACCTTTTAGGTGGCAACTGCAAGGGGGATGTTTTACTAATGTTATCATGGTTTCCAAATGTAATGGCAGCACAAAATCACATAAAACAATGAACAACACATACTACAATAGGGGGCCACAACCTGAAAAAACGTGACACAGGGGTGCCCGCCTTGATTTTGTATTGCTGAAATTTCCTGTTCTATTCACAAAACATCAAGGAGTACAATTTTCCGGCACTGCAAGAGGGATAACACAAATATTATTTGAAAAAATGCATGAAGGAAAAATGAATTTGATTTCGCATGTTTTCAACGACTCGGCGGCCGGCACATATTTTACCCCTTTGTTTGGAACGGCTATTTACCTGAAAAATCAAAGAATCAAGTTGGGTCCTATCTGTACATGGGTTGAGTCAAGTTCTGTTAGTCGTATAACGCAGAATTCAGACAGTTGAGAACAAAACTGAACATTGCCGTGTTGTCCTGCTTTTGTTCAAATCAAGGATTCATTTCGAATTTCCCTGTCTGCCAAATATTCCCAGGTTTTGCAAACTAAATACAATCTACCCTTTAAGTTGAAATGGTTGATGCTACTCCGGAGTGTAGGTCGGATGTGCTGTGGTCCGGTATTGTTTTGTGGCATTGTGGTTTGTTTAGACCATCGACATTTGTTTGGAATTTTCACCTGATTTGGTCCAAAAACGAACAAAAACCTTTGTTTGTCCGTTCATGCCAATCAAACATTGAACTCACATCTTCATACGTTTGGAATGTGGTTGGCCCAACATTTTTGAACATTGTACATCTCTATCATCCTTTTTTTCAATGAACTCGCATTTGTTACAATAAACGAATCATATTTGTTTCAAATTTCAATCGGTGTGATTTGTTCTCATGTACGGCGCAGTCGCTTCATCTCAAATGTTGGAGTTTCACACTTGCAAATATGACAATGATTTGTATGTGTCCTTGTTCCGTTTGAATGTTGTCATTCATTCAATTTATGTTTGGAATGATAATTCATCATGGGATCGGGTTGATTCATAAAAAAGGTGAACCATTCCATTGAAAATCTGAAAAACCGTCGTGGTTTTCAAATTAGAATTCGTAATTTGAATGTTTGTTTCATAAATCCTTTGTTGATCGATATCATGTATATAATTTGAGAAATCATTTGAATTACACATATAATTGTGACAAGGATTCAAGGCACATTTCCAACCGTTTTATGTAACAAATTTTGTGACTTTGCCAAATTCCGGGTTTCATTTCAGTTGGACGACTTTGTGTTCAAAGTTGGCGTTTCCTTTGCTTGTCAAAAAAATCAGAAACGTCAGTTTTTCACCAAAACATTGGCTTTTAATTTTGGATGTCGGAAAAATCCAATGCCATTTTTTTGCTTCCTGATTCATGGGTCATTCAAATGGCAATCTGTGGGATGCTTTTGGGTGCCCCGAGACAGTGGCATTCGTTGGAGGTGGTGGCAAAACAACCTTGAGTTTTCAAATTTTGAATGAAGGTGCTGTTGCTGGGCGAAAGGCACTGTTTACGACCACAACCAAAGTTCGTGTACCTGAGATTCCACACCAAATTGATGTGCTGGTAGAAACAACGGTCCTTGAAGAAGCCGTCCGTTTGGTTGGCGAAGCTTTCGAACAAGGTCATCAGCGGGTCGGTCTGGTGACAGGACGTGAAAATTCATCACATGGTTTGCGGGCTGTTGGGATCCCCCCTTTGTGGATCGAATTTTTGTGTCCCCATGTTGCAGATCTCTGCGTTGTTGAGGCAGATGGTTCCAGAATGTTGCCTTTCAAGGCTCCGCGTCCGACAGAACCCGTCCTACCAGCGTCCCTACCAACGTCTGCAGCAGTTGTTGCAGTGGTTGGCCTCGATGCTTTGGGTGTCCCATTGGATGAAGATCACGTTTGTCGGGCTGAGATTGTGATCAAAGTGGCACAGACCACCGACAAGGTCACACATGTCACACCATGTATTGTTGGGAAAGTCATGGGCAATCGAGACTTGTGGTGTCATCAGCTCTCCAATCCAGTGCCGTACCACATTGTGGTGAACAAGGTTGTGGAACTTGGGAAATGGGGTAAAAATTGGTATTGTGAAACGTGGAAGCAACGAACGTCCTCAAGTGCTGTAATGGTAGCATCCAGGATCGGCAAATCCACCTACAATTTCTGGATGCCTATCAACGTTCAAACAGCAAAACATATTTATTCAAAAGATCTTCTTAAACACAATATGTTCCTTCGTTCCAACCTTGAACGCCGGGGAAAAGTAGCATTGCCTAGTTGAGAACAATCCATTCTGTTTGTTGTTTTTCGCTGGCAAAGCTTGTGCCCATTCGGAGTTTGCTTGCCATAGCCAGGTGGATTGTACTTCACAGATTGGGCTCGGACGAGAGATCCTTGTGGCTATTCAGCAGAGTGGACGGGGTTTCGCTTCTATTTCCCTGACTGGACAGACTTCTGCTGGAAGGAAATTGTGGGAGCATGTGAAGACTTGACTTGGTGCGAAAATGAATTTCATGCAAGCTGCTGGTGTTGCGAAAACACAACGTCGAAGAATGTGTAGTCTTCAATCAAATCAAAACTAGATCTATTTTCTGGGGATGTTGCTGGATCACAACTCAGTTCGAAAGGTTGAAAGGATGTTTCATGCAGTCAAAATTTCATAAACTTAAGGATGTTTTTTCCTCATTCTATGTGTCACTTTGGACTGATCTATGGACCCTAAAGCTTTCCTGTGTCAAAATGAAGTAGATGTTGTCTTGTTTCAACACTGGACATCATTCTGTGAATTGGTTCGTGCTTCACATTTGTTAGTACAGTAGCCATCTGAGATTCAAGCTGGTAGGTAGGTAGGTAGTCGGGCCAAATTGTGTTCTGAAAAATGGCGAGGTCTGGTTCTTGGCGAATCGTTTTTTTCTTTCAACAACCTGAGTGAATCCATAGCACCTCAATTCGATTCAGGAAATTTGCAGTGCCTAGCTCAATCTGACTCAAGATTCTCAGAGTCAGAGTCTCTTCGGGTCTGGACATTCCCGGACTCAGTCTGCGGGTACTCTCGGGTGTTCATTTTCAAGGCACGCATCCTTTCCAACCAGCAACGACGAAGACGAGTCTTCCTTGGAGTGCGCCAAAAAAATCAAGCAAATGCCAAAATCACCATATCCAAGGGCATTCTACTGATGAGAAATGTATAGAATTAATAATGGGTTCTCTGCGTTTGAACGATGCTGGTTTGATTGCTTGGTCTTTTTTCCAGGTATCATTGACGCTTGCCCTTGCCTTTCACGCATGTGGCTTCGTCCCTCCGTCCCAGTCCTAAGCTGCAAAGATCTTCAACCAGCTGTAAAGGGGATAGTTTTTGTTGAGAATTGTATTTCGGAATCTTGCGTTGCAGTTTCACAGATACAGTTTCTGGAGGCCAGCGAAGACTTCAGAGGGCCCAGGTATGTCAGCTACTTCCGCCTTGTCTACTAATGAGATCACCATGCCACAGGAGGCTTCCCGGAGGAGTCAGCCGTCATTCAGAGCCGATGAAACATACTTTGATGACCCTTCATCGTCTTTCATGCATCCGCAGCTGTGAGTACGCTCAAAGTCGGAGGCAAGCAACAATTATTCAATGAGAGCGTGTTTCAGGGTCGCCTGCAAATTGGAATGCTTGGGAAGGGAGCTTTTTAAGTTGGCTCAAACAAGAAGCACATCTTGCCCTACGCTAGAGATAGATCCAAGATGGCCATGTTTGCCGGCAGCTTACGGTTGCGGTCGCTTTCAACTTTCCATGCGTCGTGTATCTTTGTGTCCAGTGACACGATGCAACCGCTCAGGCTCCGGCCAAAGGCGTCGCAGCTTTAGGGTCAGATCCGCTGACCTTGAACGCCTTGAAGGCCCTGGGGCTGCGGTCTGACTCTGTGAGAAAGCTGTATTACTGAATTATTACCATCGTATTACCCAATGTCACTTAATGTGGTAGTTGTATCAAGAGTGAACAGATGTGAAGAGCTTCAGAATTTCTCTGAGGTTTAAAAGCATCAATTACATCAATTCCGTGAAATGAAACGTGCAACATGCGAGGGATGTGCTTTGACCCACAAGATCTTGCAGGCTTCGGTTGGACCAATTGGACCAATTGGACCAACCATTGTAGCAAACTCAGAGACATCTCCAGGGAGCTCCACAGACCTTCTTTCCAAAGGTTATTTTCCCGAGTTACTGATGTTACTGTATATTAGTCAAGATATTCCCCGTCTCTTGGTTTCATTCGCCAGTGAATTTCCAAACGGGAATCAAACTTGGTATTTCCAAGCTGCCAAGCTTTCCAAAAAATCCCGTTTGAGGCTGTCACAGCTGCCACAGTCGCTGCAGCAAGGCGGAAAAGACCATTTTCCAGACTTTCCAGCTGCTTGGGCCTCGTATCGAATACCTTTGCCATGCCATGAGAGACACATTTGGGAATGCTGCAGAGTAAGATCAAAAGGGTTGAACATGTTGATTCAAGGTCCAGTTTTCAACCCTGCGGTTTGGCAAACATTTGATGGACTTTTTCTTTGTTGAGTTGTGTAGCGCCATAGTTTGACAGCTGATGTGTCTGCTCCAGAACTGTTGAGCTATGAGTCCATGAGGTTCTGTCCGAGCAGATACCTGGCTATCAAGTTTGTGTTACGACAGAGTTCTTGCAAAGTGGTTGTATGGCAAGGCAGCAATATCCAGCTATGTTACAAAGTTTCCATAGTCGAGCGAGGTGGCACAGCCTGTTGAAGCTGTTGCGCAAGTTGAGCTGGGCTCTTGTGGAGTGGTGGATCATGGTGGATCCAAGGCAGTGAGATTCACTGATTTCGCAGATCGCGATGATATTGCGATGATCATGAGGTCTTTGCAGCTGGCGCCTGCGTTGGTTCAGAAACTCTGGAAGGAGGCATCATGGCGAGAAGGTTGATCAGGAATTTGGACAGTTAATTCACGTAATTCGATTAGATCAAAATGACCTCCATACTTGAAGTAACTATAAGTAACTGAGTTTAACTCAGGTTGGGATTCCAAAGGGCCGGATCCTCAATTCCTGATTTGGTGCTCGCCAGATTCCGAAATGCCGTCGATTCAGGTAATGCCTTAGCAGAGAAGCAGTGGTTGGACTCCTTCAGCGCCGATGCCACGGTGGAGGACTTGCCAAAGCAGCTTTTGCAAAGAAGATTTGTTGGAAGTAACAAGACAAAGATGACAAAGAATCAATGACCTTTAAAGACCTCGTGGTGCCTGTGATGAGACTCATGTTTGTTCTTGTGTTTGCTCTTAGCTTAGTGGATGCTTAGTGGCTTCACTTGAGCAGTGTCGCAAGACATCAAGATTTGGAACGACTTTGGCTCAAGGCTTTTGCCAGCCTTGACGCCTACTGCTTAGTAAAGTCAGGAACATGCTGTTTCCTTTCTAAAGCTTCAGATGTTTGACCAGCCTAACTTCTTTGTTGTGGCCCAGGATTCTGAAAGATTTTTGGTGATCTCGGGAACATATCCACTATGGTCAGCCATAGATGAGTTTTTGAGGTCTATGAGATGATCCCGCGAATCGCACGAATCATGCAACACAGAGTTTTGATTCATGTGTGAATGCATGACATCTGAAGTTGCGAAGTTGTGAAATGGCAGACAATGAATCAACTAAGATAAAGATGATAAACACATCGTTACTCTTGAATCTCTTGAAAGACACTTAACAATTTTCAAACTGCACTTGTAGAAGTGATCAAATTTGATCTTTAGTTCGCCAGTTGTATCTTTTTGCATTTCCTCGTTTCAAACGATACCAAAGACGTCGATCTCTAGTTCAGCTTGAAGACACATGGCCCTTGACTTATCAGAGAGCTCCGAAGCATGCCTCAGGCGCTTGGATTCCTTTGTTTTCAAAGGTTTGAAAAGCGGATCTTTGGATCTCCCCGAAATCGCGGATGGGAAGGGTGTGACCAGCGTGCGGAGCAGAGCTACGAGCGGTGACAATTCACCGCCCATCAGTGCTAAACCTCCACTTCAGGTGCTAGAAGGGCCTTTTGGACGGGGGACCTGAAATTTGGATGGATTTAGACTGATGTAGAATAACTTTTGTCATATGGTGATATTTTTAGTCTTTATGGATTTTATTTTGAGCATTTCTCCTGAGTTTTTGGGCTGATGGTTTGGCAGACCAACTACGATGATTGACTGGGGAGTTGGAGTAGTTAAAACCTTATACTGTCCCTGTATGCAGTGAGCCACAGAGTATAACAACGTGTTTCACCTGTGGCCAGGCGCTCTTGGCTGAAAGGACATCGGAGGAAGCCTTCGAAGGTCCGCCATCTTGGAAGAAGCAGCTCCAAGCCATTCTGTCTGCAAATTCAAGAGGTACTGTGGAAGAATTTCACGATTTATTGAGTTCCCTTGCAGGGGACAGCCATGAGAGCGACGGAATCAATGAAATGAAAGCAGTGGAAGATTGTGATGGAGTTGACAATAGGTCCTTTGTCAGCCTATGTGCTGCGGTTCTCAGTGCCCAGACTCGAGACAGAGCTGCAATCAGTGGAATACAAAAACTTTCTGATTCGATTGGCCCGAGTGGGCTGCAAAAAAACGATTCAAGAGCTCGCCGATTTCCCGATTTTTCGCCAGCTGCTCTTGCACTGGCTCCACCTTCCCTGATTGAGCAGTGCCTAAAGGGAGTTAACTATTTCAAAACGAAGGCAAAAAGACTGGGACAGATTGCAGCACTTTTACTCACCAAGCATGCAGGTCGAGTGCCTGCCACCTTCGATGAACTGACAGCTCTTCCAGGGGTTGGTGCAAAAGTGGCCAATTTGGTCCTGTCCGTGACCTTTGGAAAAGATGCTGGCATGGTGGTGGATACACATGTCCACCGAGTTGCTCGACGCTTGGGTTGGTCTGATGGGAATGTACCCGAGAAGACTCGCAAAGACCTGGAGCAATTTATGTCTTCCGAAATTCGAGAGCATGTGACTATTCGGTTGATCGCGTTCGGCCAAGAAATATGTCGCCCGCAATATCCAAAATGTGACAGCTGTCCTGTTGCAAGGGAGCAGCTTTGTCCAACATATGCACGGAGGCTTCACGGGGGTCGCGAGCCTTTAACTGGCACGTTTTTTCCCTCTTTGCGCCCGAGCCCAAAGTCCCGGAAGAGAATTTTCATTGAAATCGACGATGCTTGAACCTTGAGAGAGGCGGCAAAAAACTGGCTTAATTGCTGTAGTTAGCAAAGCATTTGCAGTCATAGTAGCTGTTGACTCAAAAGCTGTGCTCTTCGTGTGCTTCTCACATCTTATCAATGTCGGCAAGTCTCACCAATAGAACTTGCTTGTGCTGCTCCAGGACCTATACCTCAACGAGAATCCAACTGGTATTGCTGGTGTTTGCGACTAAGAGTGTCACCATACAGGGTCTGTCAAGTCATCATGTGGAAGACACTCCAAAAGAGGTTCGGGCGTACCTGGAGAACAAATCCGGGTGTGGAAGGCCCAACTCGAATGTTCACGAATGTTTGCAGAAAGGGAGAGAGCGATGACTTATGAATCAGGCTTTCAAGCTCGGGACATCCACAAATTTGGCTTGTCTTGCGATCCAAAACCATACTTGTGAGGCTGGTGATTGATCGCTGTAGCGATGGTGACAGGCCCGCAGTTTAGCAGTGCATGCTGAAGCTTTGCAAAGCCTATGCAGTTGACTCATACTTGGTCTGGACAAAACGTGAATTCCTGTTAGGTCATGTGGCTTTACATGGCACTTGCAAGAGAATGAAGCGGTGAGGGTCCAATCCAGCAGTATCAATGCTTTCAGTTGGACCTTTCTACTCGCCTGATCCAAAGGATGTCAGCCTGCTTCCATTCAGGTCGGTCTTCGCGGAACCACCTTTGTCCAGCTGGATGAACAAGGGAGTCTTGTCATCTTGTCAGCGTTTCTCAAAGATTGCCATCCCCACTTGGATCCCCACTTGGACCAAGGAAAGTGTGTTATTTGCGCGAGATTTGTGAACCACTTTTCAAGCCTGGCGATTTGACCGTGGAGCTGCTGAAGGCCACCAGACCTGATAGACCTGATAGACCTGATAGACAGGTCCGACAGGTTGGGCACGGCACATCTGACGGCATAGTGATCATAGTGACATCCCAGGCCATCGGTGGTGATAATGTCGCAACTTTCGACCAGGCTGGGAAAAACTACAACCGGAAATTCCAGTGCTGAATGCATCAAACTGAGTGCCGCCTGGTGTTTTGCCGATCAAAGGCAGAACGTCGCGAACCCAAGGGAGCGAGCCATGAGCTGAGAACAGCAGATTTTCTCTAGCCGTGAACATGACAAGCCAGGCCATGTCACTGTTTGATGGACACGTCGATTTTTGTTAACAAAGGTGACATTTGTCGATATCTGTGGAAGGAACTCCAGGCCTTGCTGATGTTTTATTTATTTTATTTGGTCTGGAAGCCAGAGTGGCCTTGCTGATGCCCTGAATTGCCAGGGAAATGCGCCACCAAAAGAATGCTTGACATTTTTCGCCGACAAGGTGAGCGGCGTAGCATTTCCATTTGTAATCTGTCTTGCATTTCCAACCGCAACAGACAACCTTTAACATCGTGTTTTGTGAAGGTGCTCTATGAAGACTTCAACTACGAGCTACCCCTTCGTTTGGGGCTCAGTTTCCAGTCAGTCCGCATTAACTTGCATGTTCCCTTATCTGCCTGGTGACATGCGATGACCAAAACCTATTCACAGGTACGACTATATTAATATACATGCAAAGAAATAGTTCGTTCACATTCAAACCTCCTTTCTTAGGTGGGAAGGAAGAGGTTGGCTGGATCCTTACTTCAAAGTTGCTACGTTTGGCCGCTTCTCTTGCTTGAGAAGCCACTGTGGCAGCAAACGTGATTGAGGTGATTTTCTAGAGAAATTTGTGAAGACCTGAGCTTTTTCTGGAGCGGCTTACATTAGAAAAAGAAAGAGAATTCACTCTAGAAGTTTCTGGCTTCGCACAATTGCCTCGGAAGTCTTGCCAGCCTGCTGCAAACCAAGTACCCTGGATATCTGAGGCCAAGATCAAGGCGCTGAAGTTTGTTGCTGAACGTTTTTCAGATGGTAGCAGAGCTTGCTGCCAGAACCTTGGGGGAATGTCGAGAGATTTGCATTGCTACATGTGAATACATGTGTCATTTGTGTCATTTGTGTCATCATTTTCCCACTAGAAGAGTTCCCCTCACGGGTGACATTGGTGACATTGGTGGCCTAGGCTTTACCTGGAACGTTGAAATCGTTGGAGCACCAGAGGATGCTCCAAGGTGGCCGTAACATAATGTAACATACATGATACGTCTATGTTTTTCTCTTGAAATATCTTGAAATTGAAACTTGCCCAGGATCAAAGGAATCTCATTTTACGAGCTCAATGATGCAGGTGCTGGGCTCAATTTCGAGATTGCAGGCAACAAACAGGTAATCTCCAGGTTTTTCCAGGCATTTTGGTGCAGTAAACAAGCAAGCCATGCAAACTGGAACCTGTGTCACTCTGGACATCGCAGAATTTTCCTCTTGATTTGTTTGTTAGCGGCACCTGCCAATACAACTGAACTGTCGAGTCAGTCTGGCAGGGAGGGACTGCTTACTGTTGCCAGGGTCACGTAGAAGTATGGTGTACAGATTGTACAGATTCTTTAAACGTAGAAGTCTGTGGCCTCTGAACACAGTCAACTTGCAAGACTTTTCGCCAGGCAAGATCATCTATGTGCGAGACATTCCGGAGAGCTCCAATCCTTTCCAGGCGTTCACATGACTCGTCAGCGCTGCCAATCGAGACCATTGATCTTGCTTTGAATATGCGATGCTAATGGCTGCCACTATCGTGGCCTTCAAGCAACATCCGTGCCAGGGACTGGTAGCTATGGCGCAACCAAAATTGCGTGTCCTTTTGCCACGGTCATCAGTTGTGGCTGGGGAGGCTGTGTGGACGGGTGTTTGTGCAGGTAGACTGGCTATTGCATTTACAGTTTACAGATCTGCGATGGAAGACACTATGCAAGCTTTTTGCCAGGAGCGTTGCAATTGCGCTGATGCTGGTGGTGTGGTCTGCGTCCAAGAGAACGACAAAAATCCCAGAGAAAATCCCTGAGAAAATCTCTCATGTTTGCAAAGAACAATCAGCAATTACATAATTACACTTGAAATTTGTGAGCAGACTGTTCTACACACCATCAAGATGCAGCCATTAAATGGCCTGCCAGAAAAATGTACCTGGCGTGGTGATAGTGCCAAAGCCTGCAGTATCCCGCAGCTGCTTCCAGCTCTGAGCCTAGGGTCTAGGACATCAGTGAGATGCCGAGAAAGTTGATCTTTAGTGACATTGATGGTACCTTAGTTCACATCTCAGACGATGCGTTGCTAACGTGGGGAACTGTTTCTGAGGATGGTGACACGTTTGACTCACGGCAAGGAGCAAGCATTGCAATCAGGCCACTCCCACCTTCATCCACAGGGACACAGGCCTTTATCAGTGAGAAGACACTGCAACTTGTGTCAGAAATCAGGCGCTCTGGTCATCTTTTTGTGCTGATCAGCGGTGCCAGAAGCAGTACCTTCATGGAGCGTTTGCCGTACTTACCTGCAGCTGATGCTTATGTCATGGAAAATGGTGGCCGCATATTCCTGCCAAGCAGGGATGCTGCCACTGCTGTGCCCATTGTTGAAGATTTGGAATGGCGCGGTCGACATGAGGCTGCTCCAATGGTCTTAGAATCTGTGCCACCTTCTGATCGACCTGGTGTTCTTTGGGATTTGTACACGAAACTTCAAAAGGATGGCTGGATTTGTGATGCAAACAAATATTCAACCGATTTTAGAGTCTCCCTAAAGAAGTCAAAAGGAAAAACTGCTGCAGACTTGGAGAAGGTGATTTCAAATCTGCCTCCACAGCTTTCTAGCTCTTTCAATCTGGGGATGGCGGACATCTACCCGTCTAGTAGCGGCAAAGACAAAGCTGCAGAATATCTCATGACGAAGTTCGGCTTTGCTAGAGAGGATTCCATCAGCATGGGCGACGATGACAATGACTTGGCTCTTGCACAAATCGTGGGTCACACCTACATCCCTGGGTTTACGGCCGAATCCGTGCGGAAGGCAGTTGCAGCAAATCCACTTGCGTTTACTGTAGCTAGCCATGGCGCTTTTCTGGGCACTCATGAGGTCCTGGAAAGGATACAGGAGCTTCCGATTCGGTCCAACAGACCTTTGTTGGTTTGCTCAGTCGTTGTGCTGTCACTAATTGTTTTGGCGGCGCGGCGCAGGCATAGAAGAGCCTGAGCTCAGCTTGCAAGATGCAAGCTGCAAGCTACTAGTTTTCCAGCTTGAAGTCCCAAAGCGGCATAGCTTGGCGTTGAGAACAAATGCATTGGATTGCTTTGCATTGCTTTGCTGGCTATTTCTTCTTGCAGGGCCGTGGGTCAACACTTCCAGCAAACTAGTCCTAGATGAAAAGGAACGAGTGGATCTTGGGCAAACACAAGGTCTGGCCCACTGGCGAATGTGTTGATGGACAGACGGTGTTGGCCGGCTCCCCAAAGTGGAGGCAGAGGAAATACAGGAAATTGCAATGAAGAAACTTGGACAGATCGCATTTGGATGTGTGAAATGACATTCCGAATCCTGCGCGATTGAGACATTCTTTGCAACCATTTGAAGTCTTAGGACCAGATGGTCACCGGGAACCTTGGCTGCAAAGCAAGATTTGCAAATTGTGTGTCAAAACCCACAACTGCTGCTGTTGTTCTAGCTTCCTAGTATACTACTCACAATTGAGACAATGCTCTTTACCCCAAACGCTTCCAAACAGGAGAGATCTGATTCTTGCAAGAGGTCCGATGGAGTGCGTCGAAGCGTTGCAGAACAGATTGGTGGCGCCGGAAACAAAGGATGCTGAAGATTGCCAAGATGAACAGCAGCTTCGGGGTCAAATTTCATTTTTGGATCCGTGGCAGCGGTTTCTAAGGCCAGAGGTGCGGTAGTGATCTACCTTCGCCACCTGGCCTGTTTAAACCTCAGTTTTTGAGTTCACGAAGTTTGAAGCGAGTTGGCGATATTGCTGAGTGAGGCTAGCTATGGCATAGGATTTCAGAATATTTCTCAGTTTGATTCAATGAAATGTCAGACTGAACAGGACCTTATTGCTGGTCGCATGTACGCGAATGGCCGGGAACTCTTAGCAAAAAACATGACAGTGCTGGTCCTTTGCACAGATAGCTAGGTCCCCCCAGAGAAAGTTGAAGTAGCCAAGCGAGGTGTTGCTGCAAAGTTGAATTTCTATGAATTTCTCATCATTTTAATTTTTGTGTTTTTTCCTTTGACAGTGTCGAGTTCCTAAGGTGTCAACCTGATGTGCTGAAACGTGTTGAGGCACGGACAAGATGGTGCAGGTGATGCAATCAGATCAGTCGAAGCCCGTCCAGGATCAAGGTCTGGCTGGACCCCTGATGGTGGCTCCGGGCACGGTGGCGCCTGCATTGACGCTTTGTGAATTTTTGGCTGTGTTGGACCTGCACAACTGGCACTGCAATGCATAGCCAATGGGTGAGATTGGTGATAAAGTGATATCTTATGAATCCTTATGATTTGATTTATGATCTTTTGAATATTTTAATATTTCAGATTATTTCATCATGTAAAGATTTTGCTTTGCATTCAAGGGTCCAAAAAGACCCAAGGGTCCAAACTGGGTCCAGCTGATGAATCTCGCGCAAGCCTCGCTCATGTCCTTTTTCTCGCTCACACCCAAAATCATCCAAGTAAGGATTTGTCAGGACAAACAAATCAGTGACAAAAGGTCTGCTCAATTATGGGGCATGTTACAATTTGAATTCTCTTTTTTGATCTGTCCTGATCACATTTGCCTGCTTAAATGTATGCAAAATGCAAAATTCGTGGCATCGTCATGTTGCTACTCGAGCTTGGATGCTTTCTGCATCACTGGCCGGGCTGCTCAGCTTCAGCTCGGACACGCTCGGATGTTTTTGCTCCGTGCCCTGGACCTGGACCTGGACGGCCTGTCACGGAGAAACCGCCCGGCTTGCGACAACGGGGAGGGCACGGAGCTGGGGAGCCATGGCTGGCCAGGGGTAACACAACGGGAGAAGAAGAACGGGAAAGTGATGCAAAATGAGAAATGTCACTTTTATAGTTTGTAAACTAGAAAAAGTTGCTTTTGTAACATATTGAAATTGTAAAATTATGCATATTTGCTGAATACTTTGATATTTTTTGAAAAGTAATTTCTATCCATATTTTTTGTCCACAACCAATCTTAAAACATTCACTGGTTCATTTTCAAGGTATTGGAATGAAATTTAAAAGTTTTTTTTTCAAAATATTTTTTGTCAAAATATGTTCAAAAAACTAATTTCTATCCTTAAATTATGTCCAAAATCAGGTTTAAAACATTCAGTGGATCATGCTCAAGGTATTGGAATGAAATTTAAAATATGTTTTTTTCGATTTTTTTTGGTCGAAATTTGGTTCAAAAATGACATTTCTATCAAAAATATGTCGTGTCTAACCTTAAACCCTACATCCGTTAATAATCATAATGCACAATATGCACATAAGCACGCTATTTCCACACAACGGGGTGTTACAACGGGGGAGACACAACGGGAGAAGAACAACGGGGAAAATGATGCAAACTGCGAAATGTCCTTTTGCGAAAAACCGCCATGCCCAAAAATATGTTTTGCGAAAATCTGGTTTCCCCAAGGATGTGTTTGCGAAAATCCTGGATATCCAGGACCGTGGTTTGCGAAAGATCAGGGTCAGATCTTTCTCAAAAGATGTTTTTACCCATGTTTTGCGAAAAACCGCCATGCCCAAAAATATGTTTTGCGAAAATCTGGTTTCCCCAAGGATGTGTTTGCGAAAATCCTGGATATCCAGGACCGTGGTTTGCGAAAGATCAGGGTCAGATCTTTCTCAAAAGATTTGCAATTGTTAAATTATTTGTTGCTACATGTGCGCATATATTGATAAATGAGGAAAACAACATTTTTTTTTGCGAAATGTGGGATTTGAATTTCACTCTCTGAATAGTTTTTTTTCATGAACAGTTTGCGAAAAAACAACATGTCCAGGATTCTTTTTTGCGAAAATCCTGCTTCCCCAAGAATGTGTTTGCGAAAATCTTGGGGAATCAGGACCTTGGTATGCGAAAGATCTGGGTCAGGTCTTTCTCAAAAGATGTTCCATGTTTGTATGTCATATTAAAATATATACATAATGTATGTATATGTGATGTCGCTATATTATATATGATGACAGGAAATCACCTTTTTTTGCGAAAAACTTGTTTTCTCAAAAATGCTGGCCACAAGTCGCTCAGATTGATCGCAAAATGGCAGCTGGATAACATCTATGTTGAACCCCTTGTTTGCGAAGAACCAGGGCCTGGTTCTTCTCAAACAACTGCTTGTTCCCTAGCACTGCTTTGCGCAAGCCTCTGGTTTGCTTAAAACACCCCAGGTATCAGCAGCCTGTTTGAGAAGAACCAGGCCCTGGTTCTTCGCAAACAAGGGGTTCAACATAGATGTTATCCAGCTGCCATTTTGCGATTAATCTGACTGACTTGTGGCCGGCATGCTTGAGAAAACCTACTTTTCGCAAAAAAAATGTTGTTTTCCTCATTTATCAATATATGCGCACATGTAGCAACAAATAATTTAACAATTGCAAATCTTTTGAGAAAGATCTGACCCTGATCTTTCGCAAACCACGGTCCTGGATATCCAGGATTTTCGCAAACACATCCTTGGGGAAACCAGATTTTCGCAAAACATATTTTTGGGCATGGCGGTTTTTCGCAAAACATGGGTAAAAAATCTTTTGAGAAAGATCTGACCCTGATCTTTCGCAAACCACGGTCCTGGATATCCAGGATTTTCGCAAACACATCCTTGGGGAAACCAGATTTTCGCAAAACATATTTTTGGGCATGGCGGTTTTTCGCAAAACATGGGAAAAAACATCTTTTGAGAAAGATCTGACCCTGATCTTTCGCAAACCACGGTCCTGGATATCCAGGATTTTCGCAAACACATCCTTGGGGAAAACAGATTTTCGCAAAACATATTTTTGGGCATGGCGGTTTTTCGCAAAACATGGGTAAAAAAATCTTTTGAGAAAGATCTGACCCTGATCTTTCGCAAACCACGGTCCTGGATATCCAGGATTTTCGCAAACACATCCTTGGGGAAACCAGATTTTCGCAAAACATATTTTTGGGCATGGCGGTTTTTCGCAAAAGGACATTTCGCAGTTTGCATCATTTTCCCCGTTGTTCTTCTCCCGTTGTGTCTCCCCCGTTGTAACACCCCGTTGTGTGGAAATAGCGTGCTTATGTGCATATTGTGCATTATGATTATTAACGGATGTAGGGTTTAAGGTTAGACACGACATATTTTTGATAGAAATGTCATTTTTGAACCAAATTTCGACCAAAAAAAAATCGAAAAAAAACATATTTTAAATTTCATTCCAATACCTTGAGCATGATCCACTGAATGTTTTAAACCTGATTTTGGACATAATTTAAGGATAGAAATTATTTTTTTGAACATATTTTGACAAAAAATATTTTGAAAAAAAACTTTTAAATTTCATTCCAATACCTTGAAAATGAACCAGTGAATGTTTTAAGATTGGTTGTGGACAAAAAATATGGATAGAAATTACTTTTCAAAAAATATCAAAGTATTCAGCAAATATGCATAATTTTACAATTTCAATATGTTACAAAAGCAATTTTTTCTAGTTTACAAACTATAAAAGCGACATTTCTCATTTTGCATCACTTTCCCGTTCTTCTTCTCCCGTTGTGTTACCCCTGGCCAGCCATGGCTCCCCAGCTCCGTGCCCTCCCCGTTGTCGCAAGCCGGGCGGTTTCTCCGTGACAGGCCGTCCAGGTCCAGGTCCAGGGCACGGAGCAAAAACATCCGAGCGTGTCCGAGTCGAGCAACATGACGATGCCACGAATTTTGCATTTTGCATACATTTGAGCAGGCAAATGTGATCAGGACAGATCAAAAAAGAGAATTCAAATTGTAACATGCCCCATAATTGAGCAGACCTTTTGTCACTGATTTGTTTGTCCTGACAAATCCTTACTTGGATGATTTTGGGTGTGAGCGAGAAAAAGGACATGAGCGAGGCTTGCGCGAGATTCATCAGCTGGACCCAGTTTGGACCCTTGGGTCTTTTTGGACCCTTGAATGCAAAGCAAAATCTTTATGTAGTTGTTTTGAACATTTGTTGGTTTTCCAGGCAGCGCAGCTGAATGAATTCCTGGAGCAGTTGCCAGAAGCACGCAACAAGGTGCTGCTTGGATGTCACATGATGTCACCATGGCCTGGATCAATGGACCTTTTGCATCCTTTTGATCATGGCCCCATGGCCCCATGGCCCAGGTTTGCGTGGACGACTCGGAGGGTTACCAGGCTTGGAACGGGACAGCGAGTGGTGATACGATGTTCACATTTTGTCTCTTTCCGACTCTTTCCGGCACGTTTTGAGATTGAGTGGTTTCGTACATGTGGTAATTCATGTGGTCATCTCATACACATCAAGAGTGTTGAGGGCTGCCCGGGTCAGCAGTGCAAAATGCCAGGGTCAGGAGCGTTCGATTTCAGCAACTCGTGCATTGAGACCCTCCCAAAACCACTTGCCCAAAGTTGTCACAAAGAGACATTCCCTGCGAAAGCGATTGATGGGGTGACAACAAAGCTGAAGTTCTGCAATCTCCTCTTCAACACACCCGCAGGCTTACGCTGCAATGAATTTCGGACGTATTGGAGATAGACCAGCAGGAGACGTACAAATGCAGGCGTTTTCTCGTTTCCAGCAATCAACACGTGCAAACTATGCCACATGCTTTGGATGGCGCGGCATGAGAATCAAAGGCACCTGATCTCGGTGGCATTGATGGGGTGTCCGTGCCTTACGCTGCCAAAATGGCCTGCCAGTCTTGCAAAGGGGATCACTGTGATAGTGCCGGACTCCATGGGACTCCGCCTCATAAGTGGACCTTGACAGAGTCTAGGTATGTCTGGGTACTCTTGCTTTGAAAGATTTGGATCCTTGGAATGCTGCTGAGCTTCGAGCGCTGAGATTCAAGTACCTCAGCAAGGTGGTGTCACTGGCACCAGAGCAAAAGGATGAGGACGGCATACCCAAGGCCCGACGCATTGTGTCCAATCCAGGACTCATCTAGGACTCATCCAGGGTGGTGTTGTGCAGGGTGTCCTTCTCCTCGGTGGCACCTTTGTGGTGAAGGATGCCGAGGCGCTATGCCTTGATGACGATGCCATTTCCATGCCATGCTTTCCATGGTTTTCCATTGTGGTTTCCATGCTTTTCGCCAGTTTCTGAGCCATGTAGGTGGTTTACGCCTGGGCAGATCGTAGAGCTGCCACGCTTTGACAGTTGCAAACATTGCAGAATCCAATGTTCCATTAGAATGTTTAGAATCCATTTGACTCAATGGGATGACAGGAATCCCAGGTGACTACCCAAAGCTGTTCTCTTAGTCCTAGCAATGCAGCAATGGTTTGCAGAAGCAAGAGGAGTCAAATATAGTAACTCTTGTCCCCCAGGCTGCGTTTCCCAGGTTTCTCATAGATTCTGCTGTTTCAGCTTCCACATTCTCTTTGGGAGTGATCTTGCTTCAAAATAGATCACTTGCTCCATTTTGATATGCAAAGTTTACAGGGACGACAGAGAGGTTTCTTTTCTTGGGAAGAAAGTCACAAGCTTTTGCAGCTTCGCTGGTTGGGTGAGGCCTGCCGAAGTTTTTGCTGGGCTTTCCACGGATGCCTAAAGTGAAACGCAGGTGGGATAGGATGAGTGCCACGAAGATCACAAGTTCAATGCAATACGCTACAGGTGGATGCGAGGCTCTTTGATTTGGATTGGAATGGCCATTGTTGCACAGGCAAGGAGGGAAAGAGCTGCATCGAAGGCTTTGTACTGTCATGGATTCTTTCCTAAAACGTGAAACACAGGTGACGAACTGTGAGGGAATGCTTGCCTTTGTTGGCCGCTACCTGAGAGCTTGCATGACTGCGGTTGATGCACTTGTTGTATCTCGTTGTCAGTTCTGCAGTTCTGCCATGTCTCAGCTCAAGTCGTCAACCGCTCGACATCTGACTCGATTGTCACACCGCTGTCACAATGGCTTGGAAGCACCTGATTTTGCTGGGAGTCCTGGTGGAAGCCGAATTGAAGACAAGCAAGCTGAAAGCCCTTGACCAGATTCTGGTGAAGCAAGACGCTCTGGATGCTGACAAGGTGAACGGACAGTTGACTCAGGTAGCAGATGAGTGCGGTTTCTGTTCTCCTTCACCGGATGCCAGCCTGCAGGACTTGAAGAAGATCGACGCCTTTTGCTAAGCACTACGGGCAGAAAGTGAACGTAGAGTGGGAGTCAAAGGCTACGAAAGCACCGGAGCTTTGCAAGCAGGCAAACCTGTCGATGGACCCGTTCAAACGTGCCAAGTTGGCCATGTGTGCGTGCGGGGCTCCAATGAGACAACACGGGTGCTGCAACGTGCCTTTGCATCGGCAGCACCAAGTCCCAAGTGGGTCGAGAATTTGTTCTGACCCTGGCACTTTTCATAGCCGGCATGGGAGCGTTGTTGGGCAAGTTCCTTCGAGGATCCTTCTTTGTGCCTAGCCTCGTTTTCGTCAGCCCACCTGGCCCGCCAGATGCAGTCCCCAGCAACGCCAGTATTGTCGTGGACGAGTCGTCCGGGGCATCTGCAAGTGTGGGGAAAACGACCTGAGGTGCTGTTACAAATATGGCAGCGTTGCGCCATGGTCCGGCTGGTCCGCGTGGAGGCTGATCCAACCCTCAATGACAATGACCAGGCAGTGCCAGTGGATCCCGTGCTCAACACAAGGATCCCTACCACCGTGGAGGTTTTTGCCACGCACTGTGAAAATTTTGACTTCCAGGAGCACTCAGTATTATGTTGGAGTTTTTCATCTCCTTGTTTTGCTCCCGCTGTGCAGCTCTGAAAGATCAAGGTATGGAGGAGAGGCCCAGCCACGAGGACAACTTTGGCCTCTTGGGCCATGCCTTGGAATCGATGGAGCAAAGCCTGCTCTTCGGTTACTTGGAATGGCAAAGTGCCTTGCAGACGATCATTCAGGTGACTGGCACTGCAGCCTCAGGGACAAAAATCGGATGGAGGTCATTGCCATGTACCTGCTAGTATGGCAATTTGCGCTTCATCCCAGAGCTCATCTACTTTTTGAGCTGGATCTTGTTGCATTGCAAGCATCCCAATCCCGAATTCTCCTGAGGTCCTGGCGAGGGCAAAGCAATGACTTCTTGGTCCAAGTGGTGCGAACCCCTCTTTGATTAACACATGTGAACACCATGATGGGGTGCCGGTGCGAGATGGCACGGATCGCAAGGAGTTGAGGAAAGGTTACGATACGTACCTTCCCGCTGATGCTGCCAACTATGATGATTGGAATGAGCTCTTCCAGGACGTTGAGCGTTTGGTGGAGGCTTTGCCCTTCCTGAAAGTTATCCAGCCCAGCCAGCTGTATGCGCAGCTGGCCATGGTGGATTGGCAAGAAGCATTTCACAATGCGAAGGTGAAGACCCACCGACACCGAGAGCTGCACTTGGTGGGGCGTTTTTGCTGCCGCTCACCGGCTGTGGTTGCTCCATCTCTTGCTCTCCCTCCTCTGCTTGTTTGCGGTTTCAAAAAAGAATTGTGCCCCTATGGCCGAGGTTGGAAGGTCTTATTGGCTGGCAGTGACATGGCGACATGTTTGAGTTTTGAACTTATGCTGGTTCCCGTGCACATCTTGGCTTGGAAGATGGGCTGTCAGGAAGTGCTTTGAGGCGTTGCCGGTGCCGCGAGGTGCTTGAGCCCTTGTTTTCTGAGCTCCTGCATCACCTTCATCTGGGTTTGTGCTATGTCGATGCCACTGGCAGCAGCAGCAGCAGTGCTTGTTCGAGCCAGATTCGTGGCCCACTACGCTGCATTTTTCGCCTGTTGCCATTCTCTTCCAGCCATTCCAAAATGGCCAGGGTCTTTCAGAAGTGATCTCCGCGTCCACTGGAACGAAGGTCGTGCGGTAGGTCTTTTGGACCTTGGTCATGGGCACTAAGCTTGGGCCAGCTACCATGGTATCCTGGCCACTGAGAAGGCTATAAGAGAGATGAAGATTGGTCGCCCAGGGCACGAAACTTTGGAGGACAGGGACTACCCAGGGGATCTTGTAACTTAACACATCCTAACCATGACATCATAGTGATTTCTGAACTATGATTCTTAACCATCATGATTGGCTGAATCAGCGTGCTTTGTTCCTGGGCTGCCTTTACACCGTGGCGAATCAGAAGTTGCACATTCTGACAGTCATTTTTGACGGTGAGCAGTTGCAGAGACTTGTGATGCTGATCATGCCACCCTTCATCGGCACCATCATTTGCATTGGGCTGCTTCGCATTGCTGCTTGGTTGTTGCGACATCTGGGGCCCCTGGGGCACGAGGCAGTGAGGGTCCGAATCTCCACACTGGAGTTCAGTGGAAGCGCAATGCAACTTGAAATCCTCAGGACTAGAGCTCAGACCCACACTCTGCGCAGCCGGGTCACAAAGGATTTGACTGAGAGTTTGAATTCGGTGGAGGCTGCGCCTGAGACTTCTTCTCAGTGAGCTTTAGTGAGAGGGAGCCGCCAAATCCATCATGGGGTAAGGGGGCCTTTGAGGCATTTCACTACCAGGCAGATGATCGCATCACCACCATCAGCCTGCCAGCAAACGCAGAGCTGTGGCTCGAAGACCGGCCACAAGCCTTCCGAAAGTATTGTGGGGATGAGAAACTCCTTGAAGCGTTGGCCTGTGAGGTGAGAACCCGTGAGGGATGGTTGCTTGGACCAAGAGCACGTTAGAGGCGAGAAGATTTCCCCTTGAGCATTGCACGAGAGAAGGAGTTGAAGCGTTGGCTGGGGATGATGCCAATGATGGTGCTAGTCCCTGTGGAGATGTACCTGGAGCTATGGAAGTTCCACAGCATGGGTTGGTACAAGACCCTGGTGGTCGGCATCCTGTTGAAAATTTCCTGTTGTCATGGAGTTCATTGAATGCTGCCTTTACATCAAAAATGGCTGTGCCAAGGGCAGGTGTGTTGCACTTCCGCAGATGTCTCTATGCACTTCGAAGCGCTACCCCTCACCGCATGGCGCAAGACTTCTTTATTTCGTCGCTCATTTTGCTGATCCTTTCCATACCCACCGCATTTGATGGTCTCCGGAAACGCTGTTGCGGTTGTGAAAATTGCGGTCTTCACAACATCTTGACCTACAGGGAGGGACCCTGGCGGCATCCACAAGAGACAGGAGAACCGCTTTGAACGGCCCTGGGTGGAAATGAGAGGCCCCATTCCTGCTGCGGACTGATGGTTGAGGTGACCTGAGGCCCAGACCACCATGAGACACTCCCAAGAGACTCATAGCCAAGGCAGAAACCATACCTTTTCCACTCTTGTTTGATCTTGTTTGCCCTTTTTGGCCTCTTTGGCCTTTTTGTTCTTTGTGACCCGTCCCGTGCCCTTCTTTGTTTCTTGTAGGAACCAAACTGTACAGGCAGAACGTTGAGTGATGGCTCTGCAAACAGAACAGAGGCGAAAGCTGCGAGCAAGAGCGTGTGCTTTGAACATCTTTGAACATCTTTTGAACTTTGAACTCTGATCCGTAAATCCCGTTCTTTATAGGTCCACACTCTCATTTGCTGCATCGCCTAAGGCCAGAAGATCCCAGCAGTTCTGATGAGCGCAGCAATGTCGGTTTTCCATGCAATACCAAGTGCCTTGCACTGCTTTGTAAAGTTTCATTCTAAGAGAGTGGGTCAACCAGTTCCCAGAATGCAACCTAGCTTTGTTTGCCATTGGATTTCACCCACGCAGCCGCTTGACTTGAGCCACGCTTGAGTGAGCGGGTTTTAATTTCAACATCAAAATTTTCCAGCTTGCTCTTAGCCGGTTGCCTTTGCTTTGACGGATAGGTTTGTCAGAAAGACAAAAGAAGCAGCTGATTTGAGTGCCAAACAGATGCTGAATCCATAGCGGAATTGAGCACACCAATTCTTGGTTTGGCTTTGAAGTTTGCGTTCCCTGGTTCTCTTTCCCAATTTGAAACCCGAAGTCGATCGCCTTTCCAATTTGGAGCAAATGTATACTTGGCAGAGACCCAAATCCTTTGCTCCTCTATACACTAGGATTGGTGGAGATAATGTAGAGATTGTTTCTGGTCTTGATTTCAAAATCAATTTCTACGCTGACGTCGCCTGGGCACCTGACTGCACCATGTTTCTTGTAATGGTTCCAGGCTCTGGCAACGACATCAAGGACAGCTTGATGAATTCAACTTTGATTCAACCTGGACCTAGATAATGGTGCGAAAACATGTGTACCCTTCCATATCTTCCATCCATGCAATGCATCGTCACAGGCCGGAAAGTTCACGATGGCTTGGCATGACGAGCCTCACTGCGTTCCTCCGCCTTGTTTGCCATTCGATCCAATTCGTAATTGTCTTGAATGTCTCTGATTCTTTTTGCCGAATGTGACATTGCTCAGTGCACCCCTTTGCTTGTAATGCTCAGCACCCTCCGCGCTATGGCTGCAATGGCTCCAAACATGCAAGTTGTTTAGAACGCAACTTCACTTTGCGAAGAACAACGCTCTTTTCCCGAAACCAATCAATGACTTTGCACTTTGCCAGAAGAGCGTGCCTATACCAAGATTTTGTGAGCACATGCACTTTGGCAGCCTTAGTCTTCACATGTCAAAATTCTGCTGTGGATTCATACCTGGGCCACATTCAGGCGCGAGAATCCGGTGTTTGGCAATTTGATTAGAACATGTCTTGAGACGCCGGCGGCCACCGCGGCGCAATGTCCTTCTTGTACGACATGTTTTTTTGGACAGGCTTCGGCATGAGCCGCTTGAGATATGAGCTCATGGGCAAACCTGGCCTGAAGGTTGGACAGAGAGATAGCTGTCTGTACCTGATAGACAGCTACGATTTTTATTTGGTGGGTCTTTATTTGGCAGGTGCTTGTCTCCGGACCATTCGCTTTGAAGTGAAGCATATGTGCAGCTTTGTGCAGGGGAAGCATGCTGCCCGAAGGGTTTCAGCACCCATCCTGGCCGAGCAAAACAATGATGGCAGCTAGCCACCCAGAGTTTGCAGAAGCATTGAACACTTCAGCAAGAGCAAAGGGGGGTTTGTTTCTTATTTCTGAGGTTTGGCGTCTACTGGTGCTTTGCTTGGTGCCTGCAATCTGTGACTTTCAGGCCATTTGGCAGATGCCGCAGTTTTTCTTTGCAAGGAGACAGTCGAACCAGTTGAATCGCTGGATTCGTTTCCAGGACCATCATGGGGAGGTCCGTGAATGGCTACTAAACGGCAACAAGCCAAGATTCTGCTGAGATTTTGCTGTGGAAAGTGGGTCCAAGGCTGGTTCCCTCGCAGGAGCTGCCTTTGAAGACCAGAGGCACTTTGTTCGGTCATGTTGGTCGTGTTGGTCGTGTTGGTCGTGATGGTCGTGTTGGTCACTCTGCCATTCTGAAGAGGCAGATATGTGGTTGGGAAGTCTGGCCGACGGGCACGACACTTGGAGCATCTTGGAGCTGTGTCCAAATGGTTCGCAGAAACTTGGTGGTCGATCTTGTCAAACGAGGTGCTACTCGCTTGTGTCAATTGGTATGGTGCATCTCAGAGGCGGGACGTGGCAACGAAACAAGTGGAACATGCTCAGTGGATGCTCAGTGGATGCTGAGTGAAAGCACACTACAACATGATATCACACCTGTGCTACATCCGGTCATATTTTCTTGCCTTTAGATGCCTTTGGCACTTCACAACTATGCTGGATCGGTAGCATGGCACCTTGATGGCATGTTTCCAGGCAAATGGTGATGAATGGATTGGACAACCAGCCAGCATCAGTGATGGCATCAAGGAGCCCTGTGATCTTTTCTTCTGTGTATCAAGCATCAGTAAACTTCTTTGAAGATTTTTACACATCACGAAGTCTGGAGTTACGAGCTCCTGTGATGAACGCCTTTGAATGGTGCTGCAGTTCCAGCATCAGTTTCAGGATCGTGGAGTTGAAATTCAATTGCATTCGGTTGCCGTTCAGTTTGGTAGGGCACTAAGGGCACGGGTCAGAGTATTAAAGCCGAGGAAGGGCGTGAAGCATCATGATGTTGTCTCAGGAAATGGTACTGGACAACATGTCAGTTCCAAGACCAGAGGCAGGTTTCGTATGTCATGACATGGGGAGGGGCATTTAAGAAGCCATGCGTGGTGTTTAATTCAGAAAACTCTGACATCCACAATTGCTCGACAGGAGATGCTGGCTGCAAACCCAGAACTTCTGGGCTTGTCTCCCATGGAGGTACGGTATAGAAACAACTTTGCTTCCAAGAATCACCCCAGCCTTAAAATTGATGACAACAAACTGAGAGCTTTTAGAGCTTTCTGAGGCTATCAAGTTAGCCAAGCAATTCGTGGTGAATTCTGACTGTTTGATGGCGATATTTCTAAAGATGCCATGCTTCCACCACGGTATAGACACATTGGTTCTTGCAAATGATGTGCTTGAAATGTAATTGAAACGCAAAGGTATGAATGGGTATCTGAAAGATTTCAAAACCTGTCAATCATGTAAGCCTTATTTATTTGGGGTCAAGAGTGTTCTCTGTCACAAGGTTCATAACTTTCTGTAATTTTGCTTCGCGAACAGCTTGGCAATGGCAGGTATTTGATAAGACAGTGACGGCGAGGATCCTGGGAATGTCATTCTGTTCATCTGTCAGATCTGTTCATCACGATCTGAGGCCCTGACAAATGTTGGCCTTTTGGTCATCCTCAACAACCACGTCTCGTCTGCAGTATGGCCAAGTCCTCAGAAGTCCAACTGAGTTCGTCCATCTGAGTCATACTCCTCTGCTGTTGAAAAAAGGTGCTGCAGTGGAAATGATGGTGAAGGATTGTGGCACACGGAAAGGCACGAGATGTCATTGCCATCCAGTTATTTCATGATATTTTGATGTTATTTAATGCATTTTTATTGCCAATCAACGGTTTGAGGATGTTTGAGGTGCTATGCGATCAAACCTGGCAATGTACCGCTCTTGTTTCAGGTATCCTGAGCAAGAGTGGCTCAGAGGTCTCCGCTTGGTTGCAAGGAGGCACGGCCGAGGAGAGAAAAACCCACGGGACCTTTCAGGGCAACAATGGTCAACAATAACCCAATTTGTGGGACCCAAAGTGACCGAAAGTGACCTTTGTGACCTTGCCCCAAAGTTTCGACTTTCCAATCTTTATGATTCTTTATGATTCTTTATGATTCTTTATGTCACTATACTGCACATGTCGTTTGAAGATGTTTGAAGCCTCTCCTGACGATGAGGTACAGCAAAAACCCTCGAGTAGTTGGCTTTGATCTCAGGACCGTCATGAGTTGTGAGACTGGAACAACGTATAAGCAGCTCGGTACACCTGAATGTATTCTGTAGTCAGAGATACTTTCATGATCTTTCATTACATCCTAAGCGAAGCTTAGTTGCTGCAGGAATGAAATCAGGGCCAACGGGTGTTTTGCTCAGCTCAGATTGGAAAGTGACAACTCTTCCAGTCACTTCAGCTCCTTCAGCCTGTACTGAGGGCAATCCTACCCACCTGGGGCTCTGGTGACGTGTTCACTGATTGGTCCATTGCTGCTATCAAAGGGGCCAAAGAGGTGCCTCATTTGATCCAATCCTGACTTGAGATTTGCCTTTTATGTTAGTCATCTTTGCGTGACATAAGATGTATATACATGTATATATATATATACATGTGTATATATATATATGTATATATATATATGTACACATACATACACATACAGTACTGTAATATTACATATTGTACATACACTGAATATACATATTTAGGAAATAAGGAACGGAGACAACAAACAACAAAAACGAACAAAACAACAAATCACGAACAAAACACGAAAAACAAGGAGAACTTGTAACATGTTTTGGAGATGTGGCGCGTTGAGGGCGCTGCCTCCTCACCCAATCCCCGCCTTGCGGTGCTGGGAAATCGGCGCTATGTATGTATATATATACATATACTTATATAGATGTACAGAATTGTAGATACATATCTGTGTATGTCTGTACAATGTACATTTACATAGACACTTTGGTGTCACCAGCAAGCGTGTGGTTCGTGTCGTAGCAGTTCCAAGGTGTTGAAAGAACAGCAGGACCTTCTGATTGTGGTCTCAGGCCTGGTCTACAACAGGCTAAGTTCTTTTGGGATGTGGGGACTTTAGACTGTGCGAGGCATTCACTTTGGAATGCGCCTCTCTGAAGTGCCGAATCGGCCCATCCACGAAGAGGCAGAACTTGCAGATCACTTTCTGCATTTGTCGAGGCTCTACAAAGGAAGCTTGACAGCTTGACTGTTCCAGCCAGGTTCCAGAGCTTCACAACCGCACGGCTTCGGTCTGAATTTGGGTGATCCGGGTGATCGAAGCCATTTTTGTTCGAGCCGGCACTGGCTCGATGTCTTGCACTGCTGCACTGTAGGTTTATACAACGCATTTCTACTATGGCTGGTCCTTTGACATGATGGCCTACGTTGCTCGGCTTTCATCTCATTGGCTCAGTATCTTTCCGGATCTTTTGCTTTGACTGTCAGGACAGGATCTCAAAGAACATCATAATCTTGCCCTTGACCTAGACACATCCACTCCACTTCTGCCTACGGAGTCACTTGTACTTTGAGACATTGAATCAGGTTCTTCAATCGATATCTTGATTTGCACTTTGATTCTGCTCAGGATGTTCTTTGCATGTTGGCTATGGGTTTTGCTTGCTTTGGACCGGGAGTCAAAGAACTTTCGATCTTTCCAGGCTCAGCTCTGCACATGTCTCAACGCACTGCCGCACATCATTCATAAATGCTCTTGCTGGAGATGCCTGAAGGCGGCACCTTCATCGCAGGAGGCCACTCTACTCTGACACTCCTGATCTTTCTATAGCTTCTATAGCTTAAACGAGCAAAGGATGATCAAGTTCGAAGTTTTGGATCTCCGATCTTGTCAACTCACTTCCATCTTTTGTGCAGTTCTGGCAGCCACAAGAGTTCGATGCAAGGCAAATTTCCCCTGGGAGCTTCGAGCAGCTGCTGCTGTTCTAGCATTGCAGGTAAGCGAAAGCGGTTTTGTTTGATGAAGTTAACCACGGATGGCTGCCATGGCATCATTTTTGCAACGTCCAACCTGGATTTGATTTTCGTCCACTTTCCTTCGAGGCTCTTTTGTTTGCAATTGGAGAGTACCTTGGTCAAAGCTGCGGTCACGTCCACATAGTGCGCCTTCGTCACATACACCGCATGCAGCACATGCACTTTGCATCTCTTCAGTTCCGGATCAAAGAAAGTGAAACAAAGTAAGTTGAAAGATGTTAAAACTGACAGGTATCTCCGCCAGCCTTCGTGGTCCTTTCCAGCTGGTGTTTCTGCATCAGCTATGTGATTTGGACTAGGCTCGGCAGAGTGAGCAAGGTTGAGTGAAGAGAATGCCGATTCTCAAGTCCATCACTTTGTGAGCCAATCGCAGGATCCTTGTGGCTTACACCCTGGTGCTGTTCACGAATTTCCGAAACAAGGACTGAACTTGGCCACAAGTGGGCCACCGTTGGGCCACCACTGGGCCACCATCGGCCAATGCAGTCTCTGGCAGCTCTGGTGCCAGAAGAGTGGTCCAGGATGTGCAGTGGAGGTACAGTAGGCCTCGAGACTTGCCAGCCAGAAACTCGAAGCGGAAGAGAACGAAGAGAAAGGCAAACAGACCATTCAATGTGCCGCTGAGTGCTTCGTTACATGCAAGGATGACACACTACAAATGCCAGTCAGCATCCCAGCAGAAGTTGCAAGATTCTGGAAATGTCTATTTAGTGGCCCAGGTGGCACCCAAAAAAGCTAGAAAGGCTAGAGACGAGATTTTTCCTACCCTTTTAAAATGCTTTCTCTTCCTTGGGGGGATCTTACAGGATCTCTGGAAATGGCAGCTGGATTTGCCTCTGCATCTCGAGGTCCCGGCCTTGACCATTCCAAGGCTCGTCATTTTCTGCCACTTTTGCAGATGACTTGCCGTTGCTTTTTGCGGCAAGCTGAATTTGGGACTGCTAACCACTCCGATTTGACGTGAAGGTTCACTCTGGCAATGTGCGCATCAGAGAGCCTGGTTCAGCCACTTCGTGAAAGGACCCAAAAGATGTGTTCCAACACGTCCACAATGCGAGTGAGGGAAGGACAGGAAACAAACCTTGAATGACCAGTTTGCAAGGAAGCGTTTTTATGCAACAGCAGCTCTACTGCTTTTGCTCCTGTTGGTGGTTGTGGGCCAAAAATGTGGCTCCTACAATAATTTTCGAGGCCGGGAAAAATTGTAGAACAGGTTTCCTAGGTGTGATCGCGACGAAGTCTCGCCGGCCAGGCGAGCTAGATGCATGCCTAGGCTGGGAGTTTTTTCATGTCATTCCATGAGTCGCGTCAGGGTGACTTGGGATTTGGACAGGGCCGCTTCTCAGTGGAGAAGGTGTGACACCTGCCCCAGTTGGCGGCTCAAGCTACGAAGATAACTTGGAATGGCAGAACTGGAGACCCAAAGCAACACGAACTGAACTGAGGTTTGGTTGAGCGAGTGCCTCCCCTGCAGAGTGGCTGCGAGATTCTGTACTTGAATGCTTTTGTTCTAAGGTTTGGAACTGACGTCCGCGACAACTACTTCAACAACATCATGCGATACATCAAGGACACCACATGATTGCGAGGTGAAACAAAGACAATGACACCTGTGATGTGAGGAAAACGAGCTGGACTTTGCCTACTGGAGCATCAACGGCGAAAAACGCCTGAATGAAAGCGAGACATATGGCCTGCTGCAGGTGCGACTGCCAAGTTCTTCAGGCGGTGCTTGGTAAATTTGTTGAATATGTTTGACAATTTTTCATTTAGAACAGCAAGCACTGCTCTCTGAGATGAGAGATTACGAGTTAGGAATCATGAATTCATGATTTGTTCCGATTTTGCAGGATGACAACTTTGCTGTGAGACATCCGTGGAAGCTAGAGATGCTGCACGACGTGATGCGACGGAGTTGGCAAAAAGACGTTGAGCCCATAGATTTCTATCATGTCCAAGCTTGGCATGGCCAGGATGCCACTTATGTACATCGCAGCAAACAAAGGACCTGGGCATTTCCATTCTTGGGCTATCCGGCGATCACTCAGATCACTCAGATCACTCAGTTTCAAACTTCTGTGGCCACCACGGCCTGGAGCAGGACTCAGCGGCAGCAGGGCAGGAAAGTCGCTGCGCCGTTCAACTGCAGCACCAGAGGACCCAAACTGAGAAAATGTCGAATTTCGATGAATTTCGGACTGATGTTTTTTTTTCCTCTGAGCCAGTCGCAACTTCCAGAGTCTCCCAGATTCCGCCTGTGTTTCTTTCGGATGTCCAGGATGTCCGAGGGGAAGTGACCGGAGTTGTCTTGCCAGGAGCTAAGGCAGCTAAGGCAGTTGCATTCGCATTCAACAAAGTACATGACATAGTTGAGGCCTGTGCTAGCAGCTCTGGCTGGCTGGCTTGCCATAATGTATGGCATCCAGCACTCGCTCATTTCTGTGGCTTGGCTGTACGGAGAATGCTTAGAAAAACAAACAGACGGTCTCTTGGAAGGTGCCATTCCTCACCGGAAACCAGTATGAGTACTTCCCGATTATCGCCACCTTTGTTGCCGCTTGGCTTTGAGAAGAGAATGGCAATGTGGAAGAAATATGTCAAAACAAGGATGGGAAAGTTCCGATGCAGGTTCCATTTGGTTCTCGCTGTTCAACTTGACGCTGCAAAATTGTCAGTGTGAGCCTATTTACCTAGGCTGGCTATGCCGTCATTGTCTTGGAGGATTGTTGGGTCATGAGTTCAAGTCATTGTTCATTGTTTTGCAGAGCACAACTGATTAGAAACCATCGCAGGAGCAGACAGAGATTAACAAGGCGTGATGTGCACGTGTGCACAGTTTGAGCATATTTGAGTTATACATCAAGAGTTGAAACAGAGATTGCCTTTGCACGGTTTGAGCATATTTGAGAGGTTCCGCGAACCAGGCATAGCGGCATAACTGAGACCACAGGCAGCTTTTAGATGCTTTTAGTAAAGATCCCTTATTTGGATTTATTTGGACGCAGCTTTTCCTCAGCAATTTTTGAAAAAATCGCAGATCAGGGCATGCATCCCACACCATCTAGAGTAGTTACAGTGGTTACAGTGAATCTAAGATGCATCCGCTGCATCCATATATCAGGTCAATTCAGGTCAATTCAGGTCATATCAAGCTTGTGCAAGCACCATGGCCGTCTCTACCTCGGCATGGAGAAGCTTCACATCCGTGCTGGTTCGCCAGCCTCAAGCAGTGGGGGTCTCCAGGGCATCGGAAAGCCGACCAAGAAAAGCAATGCCAGCGATGCTGACGGCCACTTCGATCTTGACCTTGGTGACACATAGCGTGCATGGAAGCCAAAGACAAAGAAAACGACTTCAGAATCTTCAGAGGAAAGGAAAGCGCAAGACACAGGGTCAAAGAGCACTTCCTCGTTGCGTTGTTTTTGATTTGGATGGCTGCTTATGGAGCCCAGAGATGTATGAACTGTCATGGGACCGAGGGGGTGCACCCTTTAACTACGATGCTGAAGGATTGATGAGAGACCGCAGAGGTTGTGTCATATCCTTACACTCCGGAGTGGAGAAAGCTCTAAATGAGCTGGCCACCGACAAGAAGTGGAAGGGGGTGAGCGTGGCAGTGGCATCGTGCTGTGATGTCCCGCCATGGGCCTTTGAACTCTTGGGCAAGTTCGAAATTGGACCTTCCAAGATGAAAATGAATGAATTGATTGCTATTTCGCAGATTCACAAAGGCAGCAAACAAGGCCACCTGAGGGAAATCCAGTCGGTGGTGGGTTGCAACTTCGAAGACATGATCTTTTTTGACAACGAGCCTGGCAACTGTCAGAATGTGGCTGGCCTAGGCACGAAGCTCAAGATCCTCAAGTCATGGCCCATGGCATCAACTGCTCAACTTTTAGCGCAGACCTGTCGCAGGTGGTATATGATGATATCAGATATATCAGCGATATCTTATTTTGAATCTGCGGTATCTTAATTCCTGGAATCTGCTTGGAAGCCTTATAAATACTTAAGGTATTGTAGGAATATTTTGGAAGACGTCTGAGGTGTGACATGCATCTATTGTCCGGACGGAGTTACTTCCAGGGTGTGGTCCACCGGCATCGAGGTGCGGCCTTGCCAAAAGACTTATCGTTGGTGGTTTTGTCAAGGACGCCTGGTTGATTTTGAATGATTTTGCAAATATCATCATAAAATAGTATAATATATGTATATATATATATATAATAATCATGTGTATGTATATAGTATTATATAATCATATGTATATATATATATAATATATGTCTCCGCATGCTGGTGTGAATCCTGGCAGTTTGGAGGGTTCGAGCCTGCAATGAACTGTGCTGTCACCGTGTCTGCCGCGTCGGGATCGCTATCTTGTCCTTTATACAAGTTCCTGCATCAGCCGCCTACCTGCCCCATTGCTGAGGTGCTTCCTGCGGCTCTGGCTGATACTCCTGAGTTTTCCTTCAAGGACATTTCCATCGACTGGCCTTCCCTGCTCCTTGGCATCTTGATTGGGCTCTCAATTGGGCCGCTGCTGGATTTTCGCTTTCTGGTGCGACAGTCGTGGAGGGCATTTGTTAGGGGCAAGTTGGCTCAGCCGTCCAAACAACATCGACGGCCTTTGTGTCGGCTTGCATAAGCTCTGCACCTGTTTCTCGGGCTGAGTTTGACAAGTTAGTGGCTGAGGTTAGGACTCTCACTAGCTTATTGCAAAATTTGACTGTGCAGAGCCCCCAACCTGAGCAATCCCCTTCAGTTGTTTCTTCAGCTTCTTTTAAGTTGATCAGTGGGGCTGGATCGGCAGCAAGTGAATCGGCAGCGATTGCTGCGAGCGATCTCTCTTCTGAGCGGATCTCTGCGGCGGGCAACATCGGAGCCTGGGTGGAGAGGTGCTTGGCTGGGCAGCTGCGTGGTTTGTCTGGGCGTGAGAAGATCCCTTTGGCCTCAAAGTATTACCTGGTGTTCCGTTCGGTTGACCTCACCATTCACGACCCCCCATTGGTGTTCACCACTTGGCGCGACACCAAGGCCAAGGTCTACACGGTGGAGGGCCTGCTCCAGCTTCAGACAAAGAAGCAGGGTGCCGGCGCACCTCAGCCTTTCCAAAAGGCTTTTGCCACTCCCGCTGGGTTAGACCCCTTGGTGGCGCAGCATGCGCTCCATCCAAGCGGGAGTTTCGCCAGATGCTTTGGCCGAAGTTGCAAAGGTAGGAGCCGGGCGCTACAGCCAAAGCAAAAGCCCGGACAAATGTGCCCCCTTCCGAAGAGTTTTCCAGCGACGAGGAGGAGGAGGACGCGGCCTCTGAGAGTGGTTCAGCCGATCGTATGGTGCGCGCAGTTTCGCAGATGTCCAAGGTGTTGAAAGAAATTTACAAGGAGGAGAAGAGACCGCACCGAGTCTGGGTTGGGCAGAGATTCTTGAACTATGGCAAGCCAAAGGCGGGTGCTCTCCAATCGCTTCAAGCCTTGCCCAAGAACAACCCAGCCTTGATCTGCCAGGAGTTGGAGAAGAGGCTGCAGGAGTTGGAGAAGAGGCTGCAACCTGGTCTTCAAAGACTGAGCGCCAGGGGCTGGGTAGAGTATCGCCCTCGCATCTCAGCCTACCCTTCGTCGATCAGGCCGCCAGCTCACTCGTTCCAAAGCCATGTGCCTCCGGAGACACGGAGGTTCGGCGCACACGGCTCATCGATCCTCGTTGGTTCGAGCTGGTGTTGGCGAAGCTGAAGGACTTTGCGGAGTAGCAGGAGAAATAGGTGAAGCTCTATACTCCAGCAGCAAATCGACCAGAAGATCAAGGCCCTGCGAAGCCAGGGCCAAAGAAGAATGCAAAGGGGCGGGAAGGATTCGAAGAAAGGCAAAAAGCAAGGAGCCGAGGCGGGGGGATCTACCCGCTCAGGCGGCAGAGGCTTGAAACCCAGACAGTAAATTTGGAGGAAGGATGATGGAGAGCACCCTGACAACTGCTCTCTGACCACGTGCCTGCTCCGAAGATTGCCTCTTCAGTGCATGTTCCCCGCGCTGCAGCCAACCCTGTAGATGTGCTAGTTTTGTGGACTTCTCTTTTGAGGTGGGTGCTTCAATCTCGCACGGACTTTGCATCTTTTCTCCACATTTATCTCAGAGACCCTCTCTCCGCAGAGGAGAGCACGGCCTTGCCATTTTGGCGTATTCCAGCTCCTTATCCTGAACTTTTGCGAGCTGAAGCTGCATGTGATGGAAGTGGTAGGGCTCCCATGTGCCGCAAGTTGAGGCCACGGGAAAAGCTGTGAACGTTATGTTGCTGTTTCTCTCATGGCTCCACTTAGGCTCTCTGCACCGCCTGGTTACTGATTTGGGCTGAAATCTCGAGTGGGCCAATGGCAAGTGGCGCGGCGCTTGGAAAACTTTGTCACTGACGTCAGTGAGTGCGGGGTGTGTGTGTGGTGGGACCGGCTGAAATGGGCCGATCTGCGGCCAAGGTGGAAGGCTTGGATTTTGTTTTGAATCGTTTGCATGACAGTACAGTGGGACTAGCGCCCCAAGCATATGCGAAGTCTGGTGCTGCGGGCGGCTTAGTGAGCTCCGAACCTTTTGGAGAAAACACTGCAGACTTGGTGTAGCACTCTAGGATCCAGTCAAGCTTTGACCTTGTTGGAGTTGCGAGATGGAGCTGCCATGCGTTTCAGTGGAACAGACCTTCGAGACTATTATCGCTGCTTCAAGGTGACTCGGGCTCGAAGTTTGAGAAATGCGTTGGCTCTTCCATTGACACCTCAGCAGGCTTCTCAATTTAGTTGACAAGCTGTGACAATGTAAGACGATTTACCCTTGCCTTACCATGGGGGACACGGAGGCAGTGGAAATAGGTCAGAAGGTGCACATCAAGTTAAAGGTTTGACAGCTAGAGCCTTTTGATCGTATGAGCTGCTGACCGTGCATGGCCGAGCTCTCAGGGGAGATATTGCTGCTGTCATTGTCATTGACGATGTGCTGATAGCGGAGCAGGTGCCTTTAAGAAGATTTGGAGGAGCAGACTGATGAGCCGCTGCGAAGTGTGCAGAGGCTGAATCAACTCTGTGAAATGTACCTGCAAGTCGGGCCCACAGCGCACCCGGCAAGACTTTCCGTGGTGAACTGCGAGCGGAATGCTGGGGCGTCCTGGTTGATGGGCAGACCGGATTCGTCCGACCAAACCCAAAAAGACTGGTCCATTTGATGCATGTCACTGCTCAAGTGGCAAGCATGGGTCATGCTACAGTGGGGCTTCTGGAAGTGCTAGCTGGGTCTTGGGTATCAGTACTCCAGACGAGGAGACGCACTATGTGTCTGCTGGAACATATCTATGCTGCGCAATGCAGCGAAGTGGTGCGGCTGGCAGCGGCCTTGGTGCAGGAGCTGTGGGGGTTGGTCATCATTGGACCTTGTTGTTGTGGCTGAAATGCGAGCGCAATCCCAGGATGAGCCCTTCATGGCCGATGCTTCAGAGGATAGCATTGCTGCTGTCCGAGCTGATATACCATTGCCGTTCTGTAAGGAATTGCATAGGCACTGTTTGGCGAGAGGAGTGTGGGCAAAGTTGCTTATTCCTTGGAAGGCTTGGCTTAGAGAGCACGGAGCTCCGGCTGTGCGCTCAGCTGACTGCCCACTGGGGATGGCCGGCATTTCAGAGAACATGCGGGTGAAGGTATAGTGGGAAATCAACATTCTGAATTTATTACCCGTGTCATGGCCCTGGCTTTTAAGCACAACTTGCTCTGGATTGAGAACCCGGATGGCTCCCCTGCTTAGCTTTACCTACATTTTCAACAAACTGGCATTGGTAGGCAGGAGAACTCCTACTGCTTTGACAGTGCTGTTATTACACACCCGGGAGAAAGAGGACCAGAGTAGCTACAAGTTGTACTCTCGCAGGCATGCGGGATCTTTGCTTGGGAGGGCATTTTCATCTCAGTTTGAGGGGGAGATCAATTGCTCACAAGTGCTGCTGGACTAAAGTAGCTCAAGTTTACCCTGCGTCCTTTTGCAAGCGACTAGGCGGAGCACTGGCAAAAAGCGCCGGGTTGATGCAGCATAGACATGTCAGGGGTCCTGTGTGTTCTGCAACTGCAAGAAGCTCGCGCTGCAGAATTGGAGAGGCTTCAAACCCTGGACCCGCGGCGGCTCCCCGAGCGCCGCGGGATCCAGATGAGCTGACGCGGGTTTTGCATGATGCTTGGACCTTAGCTATTCAAGAGCGTGTTCCGAGAAAATTTTCCTGCTGGCTGTACCAAAACTTGTCCGGAGAAACTATTGAGCAGCTCTTTCTCAGTCCTTCGCTGGCGGTGTGGGTCCTCAAACAGTATGGCCTCACTCTTTATGGCAGTGGAGGGCGTCTTTACGACCTCAGGCACCTTTTAGTTTTAGTCCAACAAAAGTACCCTAGGTTGAGGGCTGAGATTGGACCAGCTTGGGAACTTGTAACTCGTTGGGAGGAACTCCACCCTGCAAAGCATAGAGACCCTTTGCCTGAAGTTTTGTTTCGAGCTATGTTTTATTTAGCCTTTATGTGGCAGTGGAAGTGCATGGCTGCCGCTCATGGAGGGGATTGCTCGGATTGGTGAACTTATTGCTGCAAAGCGTGGTGACCTTTTTCTGCCTTGCGATGCTTTTGATAGAGACTCTATACTGTGGCTTTCATGAAGGTGAAGAGACCAAAGACCATGCGGCGAGGTCTTGGCCGTGTTCCGCACTTGCGCATTGAGAATGTCCAAGCTATGACAGCTATGACCTTCCTGCAGAAAATCTGTGGCCCACTAGATTCCTTTCTCAGCTTGTGTCCTCTATCTGCATCTGCCTTCAGAAACCATGGAATGGCTGTTGGATGCGCTGTAAGTGCCTCTTCGGCCACGTCCCACACCAGGTGGACTTAGAGGAGGTGGAGCAGTGCTGGCATATAGACGAGGAGAAGCGATCCAGAACACCTTGTGGCGTATTACTTCGCAGAGAACATTGGAAAGCTACTTGCGAGAAACAGCTGCAGACTCACTCCTTGTGAAGCTTCCAGCATGTGCCAAGGAACGAATTCAATCTTTTAGCGGTCTCTACTCTCTCCTGCTGAGTCATTTCACTTGAGGCTAACATGGTGCTGCTCGTACAGCCTGTGATGGATTGCACTATAGGCGGATGTCTCCTCTACCTTTAGATGTTG